CTATCGCCGCTCCGGGCAAGCGCAATAAATTCCGACGTATAGACAACGGGGACCCCGCGGGGCCCCCGCGTGTCGTCCGCGCGCGCTGGCGCTCGTTGTTCGTATATATTTACCTGGCAATTAGTTTTGCGGAGAATGTTGTTGTCCTTGGTCGTACAGACAGAGCGAGCGTGAACGCGCGCGCGTCCGCGCGCTCGTTTGCGGGGGTGTCCTCGCCGTCTGCGCACATCGCCGAGAACAACAGCCGGGAGAATCTTGAGGAGAATTTATTTACGCTTCACTTTTGACGACTGTCCCAAGCGTTAGCTATATTTACGTAAATCACACAAATTTATGACTACATTATTTTTATGGAATTATGTAGGTTTTTTTTTTATTATGAATTATATGTGCAGTTTTAAATCAAGTTGTTACATAACTTGATATTGTACTCTTTTTTTTTTAACAAGATATGTTAATTGTATGAAATTTTAATTAATTTATATTATACATCGACGCTTGTAGAAAAAGAGGTTTAACTGACAATTTCTGCTATTGTAAGTAAATTTGGGAGAATCTTACTTGCGGTTCCGTTTGATTTGCTTCTTACGAACAATGTAGACGCCTTTGTGATCGCACTCCGTTATATCGCGCATGTTGATAAGCAGCCACGTAACGGAGGAATCGTGATGTCAGTGTTAGTCGGCGATACTCGTGTCTAAACAAGATCCGCGCGCTCTTGAATAATGCCGTTTAGCGGATCGTGAAACAATGGGCGACCCGATAAAATTGCGAGGACTCATTTATCGCGCCTTAACGATACACGGTCCTCGGCGGCACCTTATGGTTGCACTTCGCTATGAAATCGCGGCTATCTCCTCTCTCGCCCTTTGCTCTCCTTCCTCCCCCCGCCCCCGCCGCGTGCTCGTTACTCTCCTTTAACACCGCGGTTGAACCGCGCGCTCTCCTCCGCCGAGTCGGCGATATTCGCCGCGATAGATCGAAACGGGCCCCGATTTCCCTCCCCCCCCCTCCCGCCTACCCTTCGCGCTGCTGGCTATTTTTATTTCGCCGCCGCCGCTCTCGGCGCGAGGTGTTGTTGCAACAAGGTGTTAGATTAATTGCGCGATTAAATCGTCGTAAATCTCGAAAAGGGACGCCCACTCGCCGAGCGCATAAGGGTGCACGGCCGAAGGGCGAGAGAGAAATAAAGAGAGAAGGAAGGGAAGGCCGCCTTCTCGTACTCCTCCTCGACGTTTCCAGGGCGATACGAATCTTTATGGCGGCGAGATTCTCGCCTCCTCTCTCGGCCGCGCGTTCCCTTCTTCTTCGCGCCGCCAGAGACGTCGATTCTGAAATCGGAATGCTCCGGCTGGATCGCCCTCTCCCCTCCCCCTGGAGGAAGACTCTCGCGTCGAGAGCAAATACTCCCCCGCCGTGGCTATCGGCGAGTAATCGATAAAGTTCGTATGCGCGAATTGCTCGCGGACGGAGTTTGCATAAAAAAAAAGAGTGTATGTACCAAAGATTAATATCTCAATTGGTTGCGAAAATACTCACCTGTCGGATTTTTCGCAACGCCAAGTGCATAAATCATTTCCTTAATCGATCCTGCGCAAAAATTTCGAAAGAGAGGCTACTTTTCTGTAAAAATAATTTAAGGTACATTTTAAACGGACAAAAAATACAAGAAAATATTCTTTGCAATATTTTCGCGAAAGAATTTTGTTTCGTTATGAGAATAATAAAGAGAATAATTACGTGAGGTATGATTGCGTGCGTGGAATTTAAAAACGATGAGTCACTTAATATCATCGACGACGATTAGAAATTCGACCAAAAGACTTTCACTTGGTCGCTTTCGCTTCTTCTGGTGAACTCTTAATATACTGAAATAAAATGCCTTTCGTTACTTTGGCGTTGGCGTAACGAAAGTTTCGGGTGACATATAGTGCAAACTCCGGGAAATCGTAAACGCAACACACGCTGTAAATAAATGACATACGTTTACGAAGTTTTTATTTATTTTTATTTTTCTTTGCTTCGTGTTAGTAACTCGCTCCGAATGTCGGTAGCAAGAAATGTCGACGTAAGAAAATATATATGTGTGTGTATATATATATATATATATTAATATTATTATTATTATTGCTCTGGTCGAGGCTTATCTCAGTCCACACGCAAAACGCGCGTTTCGATCGTCGATTCTATAATCGACGTTGATCTGCCTTCAAATTTCATAGCAGATTTTCGATAATATTTTTTGAGAATAGCCTTGACTATTATTATTATTATTATCATCTCGTGATGCGCCATACCCACCTTAATCTCATTAGAACAGTCGAAACATGAATACATAAATATATAATATGATATATGTATAACAATGTCTTGATAAGACCAGTTGTTAAGTAGGAAATCAACGCTTAGTCCTAATTAAATCTCTGTTCATATAAAACCAGCAACGTCTTAACTATATACGATTAAACAAATATATATATATATAAATATTCGCCAGTGGTGTTCGCAAATATGTACAATTCAATGCGCACACATCAATAATTATGTTCTGATTGCCAAAGATCACTGAGAAAGTGGAAGCACATGTTTCTCTTTCGTCATCGCTTTTTTTCTCACCGAGATAAATAAGTCGTACTGATTCTAAACAAACTCTAAACATCAATAATCTTAACGTCTATTGTACTCTTTGTAGACGTTTGATAATGGACGTATTTAGTGAGTAAAACAATTTTTTCGCGCAAATATCTACCAAGTTATTTAATTTTCTTGCGCGAAAAACTTGAGATTCTGTCAAAATAAATTCTTTTTGGAATTAATTCAAAAATGCATTTATTTTTAATTGCAATTTAACCCAAAAAATTAATTTTTCTTAATTTTTTATCACAAAAAAATTTAGTTTTCAATAACGAATACGTCTATTAACAAACTCTCTATATAGAGAAAATTCCTTCACAATGGACAGACTCCGTTTCCTCACAATTTAACCAAACCAAGAAATGTGTGTTCCTTTTTATACAATTCCCTAATCCTACAACTTCACCTTAACAATAATTAAATTAATAAATAATCGGTTAGAACAATAACTATGTGATTACGCGAATCGGATTTATTTGATATTGCTTGTGCCACTTCGTCCCTCAATTCCATTATTTCCCACTTCTCTACCTAACTGCGAAATTAACCGCACTCTTCGACTTTGTCCGTGTCAACGAACTGCACTCTTCCTTTCTGTCACTGCAATCAGCGGGAAGGAATTCCCCGCCGCCTTCGAGCTTTGCCTACACTTTATCGCGGAATTGAAGAACCAACTACCGTTAAACCTACAGAATGCGGTAAAGCCTGGCGCAAAACGAATTGCAGGTAACCCTCGATATGCAGACGTTTTTAGCGAGTCTAGAAGCCAACTGTAATGTTCCATCGAAAAGTATTTCCTTCCTATTGTATTGCATTTATGTATTTAGTTCTACGAAGTAATAAGAATTTGCGAACCTATTTTTCAAACCGTTAATAGATTTTCTGACAACTCGAAAAATCGAAATAACAAAAGCCTCTCGCTATAAGAAAATTAAATTTATAATATTTTTTTCCATTCAAATTTACACAAATTTAATGGTGCCTCGAGAGTTTCGAGGCCCCGCCTCGGTCTACTTCCAATTTGCGTTGCATGCCAAGCTGCATAAAAAATAATAATGCACATGTCGTAGAAACCCAACAGGCGTGGAAGCGCGCTTTACGATCTAATTACGCGAGCGATTCCATTTTCTCGACAAAACTAATTGACATTCGCTCGTTCACGCTGCGATGTTCTTTGGCATCGAGTTTCTGCGTTGTACAAATGACTTGAACTCTTCTGCAGCCCAATCAACGAAACTCATTTTGCTCACTTAGCAGGTCGAATAATGTAAGCAAATTTCGTAGTCTTTGCTAAGACTAAAATAATAAAGAACGACAGGAAATATTAATCAAACTACGTTCTTCTAAATATTGCAACTATCTGACGCTTTCAGCGTTGAATTTAAATTATTTTGAGAATGTATACGGACCTTGGTATAAAAATTTTGTTATAAAATTGTCGCGAGAAATTGAAAATTCAACAGACTATACATATACATCGCGAGAACGGTGAAAGGTCCGATCGTCGACTAATGTCACGTTATTATAGTCGGCTGAGAATGGTTCAAGTCCAATGGTAATGGGTGACCACGGACGTAATTGCATTGTTCATCAATTGCACTTTCGCACGAGCGAGAAACGACCGTGCAGTAATTCCCGACGTTAAACTCATGATCGAGACAAAGCGAACCGAGATGGAAGCGACATCGGTCACAGAATCGACGGAATATCACGCCAAAGAGCTTTCAGCGTTACACGGCAAGATTGCTCCGTACGTCAACCAAGATAGACTCAGTTATAAATAAATAAAACGAATATATATATAACGATTACATATATGTCGCAAATATCTATATATACAACCGATCGGTGAGCGAATGTGTGAACACGTTAGTGCAAATCTTATGGTTAGCCATATCGAAATTCGCAAAATTTCGAATTAATTATTTTATATGCGTTATCATAATATATCCGAAATCGCAATAACAGATTTACTAAAATATACGAAAACAAGCACTTGATTAAGTATGCAAAGTTAGCAGGTTCTTAAAAAAGAGCGACAGAAAATTATGCACGAACGATAGAAGTGAAGAGATGCGACGAGATTTCTATTAAGCCGATAGCGAGAAACTTGTTAGACAAGAATAATAATGTGCGATAAAAAAAAGATAGCGATGTATGAGAACCTCCTACAAACTACGAGCATGAAGGATCGACGCGATCGACGTCGTAATCGCGATCGCGCGAGCGCTACAGCGAAAAACGAAAGTATGAAGAATAAAAAAAAAGAATCTCTTCGAGTAACTTAAGGGCGGCTCACGTGAGCCCCGATACACTTACGCAGCTAAGTTGCCTTAAAACCTAAATCGTTCATGGAACATACAGCTTTTAATATATCATAGATATATGGGACCAAAATCACCAGCACCAGTCGCGCGCCTGTGACGCCTCGAGAGCGCGCCGCGACACGATCGCCAATAATTATATTCCCTCTTGAACGGAAAGTCCACGATCGATCACCACCTGAGCGTTTCTTGATCGATTCACGAGCGAGCGAAATTTCGCGCAATCGCCGGTGATCGCCGCGTGCCCGATCGAGACTCGTGGTTTCAGCGGTTCCAGCGTCCTTCATCGCGATGCCCACGGCACGTGTCTAAGGCACGCTCGACAAGTTAATAAACACCTTTCCGCGCGCCGCGTAAAAATGTTTCCACGACTTCGCGCGTTCGTGTCAAAGATTGTAAAGTCGCAAAAATGTAATTAACCACGTTACATCGCGATACGCTGTTGCGAGCAGTCAACGATTATCTCAGCGAAGATATTTTTATTTTACAAAAGGCGCGGCGAATTGACATTTCGATATTTTTTTTTCCTCTTTCACGGTTTCATTTATATTTTCATTAAATCGCGACGTGAGACGCCCGAAGGACGGCCGTTGTTGCGGCGTTGTTGTCTTTTTCCTCATGCAAAAGTGTTATAAAAAATAGATTCTCTCCGACTTCGTTTTCCTCCCCGTTCGTATCGTCGCTTCCGTCGTCGAGGAAAAGCGAGACAAGCATCAAGCAGCGAACAGTTCCGCGCGCTGAGGCACGCCCGTGCGACATATCGCGCGCGTATCCGACAGCTCGAGGATCCGACGACTGGTGCCGACAAGCGATCGTGAGAATAGAGGGGAAAGATTTATTTCTTCCCTTTTCTCTGGCGAATCTCCACTTGTTCGCGCCTTCACTTCGCGATGAGAGCTCGTCTCAGATAATTATTAAAAAAAAAAGAAAAAGAATTCGAAAATAGAAGAGACAAAGAGAGACAGAGAGAGAGAGAGAAAAAGAGAGAGAGAGAGAGAGAGAGAGAAAGAAGAAGAGAAAATAAACGCAAAAGCAAAAATGGTCGCCCAAAACGGGCGTACTAAATGGACCCGGCCGTAACTCGACGTTATCATCGCCAATAATATCGAGCACGGCGAATCGTTTACCTTACGATCTCCGTGAAGCTGGGCTCTTCCGGGAGATTTTCCTGAAGTCACTCGCTCTGGATCGCAGGCGCACGCGGACGCGCGCGCGAAGCAGGGAATAGGAGGATTAGTGGAGAGGAAGAGGAGGAAGAGGAGGAGGATTGGAAGTGCGGGGGGATGAGGCCGAAGGGCTCCTTACAGACAGTAAGGATGGCAGAACTGGTACACCAGTCTCTGGCTGCGCTCCGTCTTCTTCATGATGCCCTTCTTGTAGTACTGCCGGATGCTGCGGCTGAGCTTGTCGTAATTCATGGCGGGCCGATTCTTCCGCTTGCCCCAGAGCCGCGCCACGCGCACCGAATCTTCGATTTTGAAGACCCCCTTGCTGCGGTCCAGCCAGCGTATGCAGGAGCCGTGCACGCCCGGGCTCTGCAACAGCTCCTTCAGGAACTGCCAGAGATGGATGTGGCTGCCGCCGTTGCGCATCTTGCCGCCGCTGTTACCGCCGCCTTGAGCGGAAGCGCACTCCTCGTCCTCGTCTGCAAAAAAAAAGCCGAACAGACGCGATGCGGCGATTGAGAAGCAAAAAATGGCATACCGTAATTTTTTATTAATCTATATCTTATTTGTAGCGGTAAAAGCTGCGTTACGTTGCGTCGCGTTCGGTTCGCGTTCGGAAATATGTGGATTCGAGCAAAAAATAAGGCGCGGCTACTTTCTTCGCTAAATAAGCTGTTTGCCGCTTCAGCGCTCGACAAATAGTGGTCCGTCGTGTGATGTAAGAATCGAGAAACGTACCATCCGAGAAATCTATGGTGCAGGGTGACTCCTTGAGGCTGGCTGTCGCGTTTCCGACCGCCGGCGGGGTCACGGCACTGCTCGGCGACTGTACCACCCCCGCGGGGCTCCAGGAAGCGGCGAGCGTGTTCCGCGGTGACTCTTCGACGGCGGCCTTCCAAATCTCCAGCTGCGCATGTAGCATGCTCCCGCACTGCAAGCATAAACAGTGTCGTTCCGGCATTAGCCTGACCCTATGTTTCAACGCATCATGCGGCGAGTAATGTAATCGTCACATCAGTATGCCATTTGAATGGGTCAAGGCATTCGTACATTTTGTGCATACCATCCGAAGAACATTATCGAAGATCAAGACGATCGATTTCCTCCGAGCTCGCCGAGCTGACTAAAAACGAAAGGCGGGTGCGGGGAAGGATAAACGAGAGAAGAGGAAAGATAGAGAGAAAGAGAGAGGAGAAGCGAGGCGCGGAGCGTTAGAATTCCAACGAAAGAGTCGTTGTGCGCCGCGCGCGAGAGAAGAGAAAGCGGCTCCGTTGAGACGCAGCACGCGGCAGGCAAGACATTCGAGCGGTTGACCCACTTTTCGATCGTTTCTGCGAGCCAATGGCGCGCGCACCGCACCGGCAGGCACGGCGAAGCCGATCCTGCTGATCGCGCGAGATCGCAAACGAGCGTCGTGTATCGAGAGCGCGAGGAGCGGCGTGCATGCACGCATGTTTTCGATCCGCGACTCCTCTTCGCCGTCATCCTTGCCGCTCGTCCCGGCGAACGCGTATTAATTTAGAGATGAAGAGCTTTCATCTTCGTATTAGAAACGATATCATTTTTGATTAATGACTCGTACGCTCGCGATGCAGATGCAATTCGCAATGCAACGATTCGAGCGCAACAGAAATTTAGAGTAGAGAATTTAATCGTTGAAATTAGATCGTGTGATACTTATACGGCGCATTTCTTTCAATCTGCCAACTACGTAACTGTGGCATTCCGTGCGCTTTATCCAGCGGTGCAATTATACTCGGATACGACGTTCTGAGAAGCAAATTCTCGTATATCGATAATCGCCGCTATTAAAACGCGATGCCAAACCGCAAAGAATGCTGTAATTATTTCCTCGATGAACGAATACACCATGACTCGTTCGAGTTTTACACGTCAGCGTTAAGTATCACTCTAAATGCAACTTAATTTTCTGTTCTCGTATTTTTTTCCAAGATATTTTACTTTTCTCTTAATTATAAAAATTAAAATGATGCGTTGTATTATTATATTTACATTTGCAAACATTTAAAAAGTTAGGCGATTAAAAAATCATCCTGAAAAGAGCTTGAATTTGGGACTAAATACTAATTTTAAGTGCACTCGATTAAACTGCGCTTACTTAGTACAAATTTTAATTGGTAGATCGAGTGTTCGTAGTATGCATATTTATGAGGCGCCGTGAATGAATTTCCTCCGCGAATTTGACTGCGCGTCGCGTCAACGAAGTCCGAACTGCCGAAGGAAGGACTCGCGAGATCGGAGATAGAACGTGACCATAAGCCTGACCATGATTCCACGCTACATGTACTACCGCGGTACTTCACAGCGCAATTATCCAATTACTAGACGCAAAGCGGAATCCATTATGCATGACTACTTCCACGCTACTCGCTATACACAACTACTCTACTCACTATTAATTTCCGTTAGGCTTACGCCTGTAGTTTCGAATAATGAGATGCGCGTCGATTGACGAGGGACTTGAAGATTTACTTCTTTACGATTAGAGGACATAATAATCCGCAGTTTACCGCGACAATGATATTACATAGGCAGCGGACTTAGAGTTAAAAGTTTATAAACATAACAGAAATGATTTGCTTAATCGTTAAATGATCGAATGAGAATATATATTTTATTTTTCATCCCTCTTTATCGCATTGTTTGTACATCATTCTAAATGAAAATGTTGGTAGTATTAATAAAAAATACAGAAATTGCAAAAAAATCTAATTTTGAGAAAAAGTTAATTTATATTTCAACGCAATGTCAAGTTCACACTTTCTTAAGTTTACCTTAGCTTTGTCAAGTTTAGGGTTGACTACACAGTTGGCAAGTATAATCAACATTGGCGCAACCGGTTTTTAGCTCAATGCCGATAAATATAAAACTTGTTACTTAATAAGCGACAATGTAGCTACATGCGTAAGTATCGGAAAAGGCGAGAAGTCGCTGCGTTTTATTTTCTTAATGAGTTTTCTTCGAACAACAATATACTCGTAAAATAATTTTATAGACAAACTTTTATTCGCCAAGTAATCACATCATAATATTAATCGTTAATTAGTGATTTAAAATAATAAATGATTCAATTTTTTGTAAGTTAATCGAGTCATTAAATTTGCAAATAAATTATATATTATTTGCAAAAATATGTAGCAAGTGTGATGGTGTATTTAAAATGAGTCAACTATACTTATATAACAAAAATGCTGTTTGTTATATTTTTTTACGTATTCAATAATTTATATCTTTCTATATTTGTCGTAAATATTAGATTACTAATGAGAAGAAAAATTCAGTTCAATTAAAATCCGTTAATAAAAAAAACGATTTTAGATAACCTTAAGGGTCTCCTATCTCTGAGGCCTATCGCTGACGCAAAAGCGCGGTTCTCTTGCGCCAAATGATTCTCGCGGGAATTCCAATCCCGTTACATGTCGAAATCTTTTACAGCATACCTTCCACCGTCACACATTTACTAGCCAGGTATGAATTGCGCGGAAAGAACGCAAACGCACATCGATTACCAGGAAATTCACTTTCACCGGACCTCGATGGCGAGCATTTCTCAAGTCCTCTGGTCTTGACCGTTTTGCTCCTTCGTCCGACAATCACGGACATACTTATTACGATTGTGAGTTGTTACAATAATAAAGAATGATGTTAAAAACTTTCTCATTGATTGCGTTCGACATTCCCGTTTGTCAAAATGGATATAAATTATTATAATTTCATTGAGACGGAATTTTCAAGAACGTTTATGGATTCTCTCGCTGATAAGCATCGATGCTTATTCAAGATTGACTAGTCATGAAATGCGTTTGCGATGGCAATTTGATTAATTATTTAATTAGAGAAAAATTGTGTAAGCTACATGTAATTGCACATAAATAGATACTATTAATAAAATATTTCAAAATGTTCGAAAAGTAAATTTACAGCGGACATATATTGAAATAATTTTAATAACGAAAATTAATAGATTTATCTTTTTGTTTTTCTGTAGCTTGTTATTTTTTAGAAATGTGATTATTCACGAGTTTTGCTATTTGAAATAGAATTCACGCACGAAATAGACATACGGCAGTTATGCCGCGATAAATATAAAATCTGTTGTAAATTTTCGCGACGACGGGAGATAAGTCTTGCGAAAAATGTATGATGATGTTGACAAGATAAGGAACGACATTTGTGCGAAATTGAATGCTATCTTGTTATCAATGACAAAATTTTGTCAAAGGTTTTGCATACTTAGAAACGAAATTTTATGCCAAATTCCTGAATGCAATTTTAAATAACATTTTTTTTACAGTCATTAAAACTTCGTGTATCAACGTTGAATAAAAGCATTTCGAAAAAACTGAACGAATGATTGATTCGTTGATAACATCAACAAAATCGATCATAAATACTGCATAACACTATATGTCAAATTTATTAATCGTAAAGCATATTATCCAGCAATAATACAAAGAAAAAATAATAAAATATGAGTACAAGAAACGAAAAGGGTATGTTAAATTTATATGATATGACGATTACTTTAGGATTCTATATTTTCTTGTGTTTCAATTCCAAAATAAAATGAATGAAGATATAATTGCGCTCACCTGAGGAGCTCTCTGGCAGAAATCCTCCTCCGTGAGGGAGGCCAGCGTCGCGCCATCCACGTTGAAGCTCTCCAGTGGTACCGAGGGCAATTGTAATTGCCGCCTAGCCCATTGTACCCAAGCTGCCACATCCGCCGCGCTCCAGCGTCTAGGCTCTGCAATTAAAAATGAGTAATCTAATTATTTCCCGATTGCCGTTTGAAAAATGCGACGCTACTCGACATCCAAGTGATTAAATTCGAAAAACCAATTGCGAACCATGATTTATTATTTGCATTCTAAAAGTGAAATGTTGAACGAAATAAATTAATTACGCGTTAAGAGGACAGACAGAAGCGTATTGAAAATAAATTCGTAAGACGCAATCGTGTCGATGACGTGGATCTTCGTCACGGCGCGCAGCGCCATAATTTCGTAACTCCGCGTGAAAGCACACCGACACGACACTTCGTAACTTATTTCAAGCGTGACATCATGGTTCGGATTAATAGACGAACCAGTCGCGGCAGCGATACACTAGTACACTACAACAACGACGACGGCAACGACGACGACGACGACGAATGTGACGACGTCGAAACTACGCCTGCGGCAAGGTAACGAGAAGGTCTAACGGAGCGAGGTTAGCTGATGCTTAGTTGAGAAAATCGAGGTACGCGTCGGAATTTCTGACAGCTCGATCGTAACCATTCCATCCGTACATCATCGAGCGGCACAGAGTGAATTTCTACGGTATCGAATTAGAAAGAAAGAGTTTCGATAAAAATAACGAATTAAGAAGCGAAACGTTGAGATTAATGAAAATAGATGAATCGATGAATGGAATATTAAAAAAAGAAATAATAACTTGATTTTGTAATAATGGGAAATTGCGTTTGATAAACTTTTTCATGCATTATAGTATGATAATGAGCATTATAATCTATCGAGTAAAATGACATGATCTCAAGAATCATCAATATGTACATATGTATCTAATTCCTGATAAGAATAAATTCCTTAGTCGAGCTGCGACGCGATTGTAGTAAAAGGTCTGATGATAAAATCTTGAGAAACGCGGAAAGAAATCTTACTTAATAATTATTGTGAGATTGATAATAATAACTATTATCGCGTCATTACATCCAGTGTCGTGAATTATTATAGAACCGACGCGCAAGGTTGCGCATTCTAATAAAAAAGTATCAATAACCACGAAATTGTATATAATTTTATAATTCTATATGAAACATTTAGCTTTCATTATTTCATTATCCGTCAGTGAATTTTGATTTATAGTAGAAGAAAAATAACTTTTGATGTCTTGAATAATCGAATTCATATGAGCGTAAAGATGAAACAATTTCAGTGTATTTTTTTATCACTTATTTTTTTTAAACCATTTTTTATCTTTCAATGAAAATAGTCACGTCACGTGAAATAATTAAGTTACGTAGTTGCGCTATGCATTCGACATGTAGTGAGCAATAACAAAAGTGATTTCATAAAATTCCACTCGTTATCATTCGACTACAACGTTTTCAGTTCAATCTATCAGACTATTAGATCCCGACCGGCGGGCCAAAATCCTAATCAAACATTGGCGCTTTGATAAGAAAAGCCGACTCACCTGGATGAATACCGAGCGCCACGCAGGTGTTGTCGAAGTCCTTCTGCAGTTGCTGGATGGCCAGGCTGAGGACCGGCTCGAGTTGCTCGCGCGCGAGATCGCCCACGCACTCGCCGGCCTCCATGTCCTCGACGAAGCCGGTGCCGACGCCGCCGAGATCGACGGGTCTTAGGTTGTACTTCCTCTGGAAGCTGGTGTCTCGCAGCACTTCCCGCAACAGCTGGTGATCGCTCTTCTGGCCGTCCTTGAAGAGCTCCTCCTCCTTTTGCAGAGGATTCGCCAGCTCGTCCCGCGATCGTTCCGCCTTGAGCTGGCTCGTCTTGGGAATCTCCGTCAGATCCTTGCGCGGCGCGCCTTTGAAGAGGAGCTCGCGCAACGCTGAACCGCTCTCGAAGTCGCTCGAAGGGCTGGGCGACAACGAGGAGGAGGAGGACAAGGAGGACGGCGACGAACCGCTAGAAACGGATCGCGGTTCCTCCTTGAAGAGGATCTCCTTAAGCAACTGATGGCCCTGCACGCCGGTATCTTCTTTCTTAGGCAGGAAGTCCGCGTCGAGACTGTTGTAGATGTCCTCCTCGCTGCGGGGCGGGGTGCAAGGCACCGTGCAGTCAGTCGAGTCCTCGCGGTAGCCCAGACTCTCGGCTAAGAGCCTGTAATCAGACACGGAACGCGCGACCCGCTGCCGTTAGAAGATTGCAAAGTTGTCTTTCACTGATTATTTTATTTGAAACTAACAATTTTTCATCTCGGACGCGTCGTACGTAACAATTACTTATGCAGAATGATTAAGCAATCTTGAGTTTAATTGCAATGAGAAATTTTTCTCGCCAGGAAAGAATTGACTAGAAATTTCTTAAAGTGTTCATATCTCGAACGCACTTTGTATATTTGCATACTTGTGTACATTAAGTTCTTATGATAACAGTAAACTTGTGACATATAAAACAAATAAATGAGAGTCTAGAGTGTGAAGAGAATCTCTACCTGGATTCCTGAAGGATGGCCAGCAGATCGAGGCTCTTCTCCCTCTTGACCGGCTGCTTGGCCGATGGTTCCGGGCTGGTGGGGTAAAACTGGGCGCTCTGGGGACTCCTGGGCACATAGTAGGGGCTCGTCGGGTATCCCGGCGAGGAACCCTCGTGCGAGTAGTTAGGCGACAATGGCAGCTCGCCGTTGTTCTGATACGGCGGGCTCTGGTAAGTCGTGGGCGATCCCGGACGCGGCGAGCAGGCCTCCTGCTTGATCGGCGAGCTCTTCAGGCCGGCTTGGCCGCCGCCGGTCGGGCCATAATCGTCCGGCAGGAGGGACAGATCGAACTGAAAATTGCTGTAGTCGAACGACGGCGAGTAGCCGGCTGCAGTGGGCACCGTCTGCGGCATCTGTAAAGAATTCAAGATCGCAGATCGTACATCTCGTTCGATGCCGATTAGCTTGCAAAAAATGCGCACAGAAGAGAAAGCGGCGCCGCGCGCTCGCTCGCTGACGCCCGCCGTCTGACGTGCGGGACGCGAGCGGCGCGCGTTTCGCCCGTCGCGGCCAAGGCTAGATCGATCCGAGAGTACATCTCGGGCCTCGACTGTGAACGGCCGACGCTCGCAATTAGAGCGCGATTGTGGTTTCGTGGTAGTGGGCCGATGATTGCAGACGCATAATGGAGCAACCAAGGCTCGGCGATAACACCGTGCGCGCGCGCGCGCGAGAAAGAGACGCGGGAGAGAAAACGATAGAGATCTATGTTCTTTGAGATCTTGCTCAATTATGCTACGCTGTGTCGCAACTGGGACGCAGTGTAGTATAATTAAACATTATATTAATCATACGCATATCCTTGCCTTAAACTGCACGTGGGCCGATTATCTAGAAAGTCGGATTTGACGCGGAAGAATATAATGCCGCCGGATTTCAATACGTTTCAAATCTCTGAGCAAAGATAATTCCCACGGAATAGTGGAGCGGTAACGAAAAGAACGAGACGATAGCTATTCGCAGGCTGGATCGTAAAGTGAACGCAGGCGTTGTGTTATAAACGTATTGTACAATGAGCGATAAACCGGACTGCCTTTTGTAAGTTCGGACGAATACGCTGGGTTCTCCATATCGATTCGTTGCGAAAGCGAAAACCGCCGGCGATGCCGCGTCAGTATTCGCGGATGAAACACTTTCCCCCGTCGACCGGAGCCCCGGGTGGACCCGATCGCCCGTTTATCTTTCAGCGTGTTTATTGCCCGTCGTGCGTCTGACCCCGCGTCAGTTTGTTACGCTCCGCGAGTCGCTCACGGCGATCGCATCTCTCTGCAACTCGGGGCGTGCAACTATTCCGAAACTTGGCAGAACCGAACAGATTAACAAAAAACGATTATCTCAAAGTATTTAGAGAATCGTACTTATTACACTATGAAAAATGTAAAAGGAACACTTATGATAAATTCCACAAAAATTTAAGACAAAGAAACGAATACAGAAATTCTCGTGAAAAGAAGTTGTTGCAAAAGAATTGTATTGTATGCTAATGTTAGAGAGAGAGAGAAAATATCCAATGAATAACAAAAAATATAGCATAAGATTCTTTACTTTTAAAAGTATCCATAAAAATGAGCGTTCGTTAAAATATGCGCAAAAGGAAACAGATATTTTTCTTCAATTATTCGTGTGTGAAATGTAGATTTCTAAAAATAGCCGCGAGCGCGGATCAAGCGAATTTCGGGATCTCGGATCGTCGGCGTTGATCTCGCGCGGGTGCACGCGCAGCCAACGAAACGTCGTGAGAGATACGCGTCGAGGGACGGAACGCTCTCTCTCTCCTCCCGGCGGGCCCGGTGTGGTGCACCTTAAGGGCCCATTTATCTCTACGTGTGTTTATTGCCCGTCGTGTGTTTGACCTCGCATCAGTTTGTTACGCTTTGTAAGCCCATTACAGCGTTCCCAGTGCATCTTACCCTGCGCTCAGGCGGGGTCGCATCTGACATTTTGACGTAGTGCCCCGCAAAGGTCGACGCGAAATAAACGATTATGCTCCACAGACACACGTGAGCGCGCGAGCGCGGGTTCTCAGACAACGTAAAGACACAATACCTCTCCCACTTTGATTGTACGAACACGGGAACGTCGTACGTACCGCGTTTGCAGATACGGACACACATACGAGCGCGCGGGCACACGGATAGGCGAGCTCCGGAGAGATACGAGCGAGCACGGCACAAGAGCGCACTGCTTATTCTCTCTCGGGGCCCCGCGAAAGGTTCCAAGGAGAAAGAGAATGTTTATCTATATACTGATGGAATCTAAGAACGATGCGCCTCTCTCGCAGGGGAATCTTCCTGGATCTCCTTCGCGCGAAACCATGAGACGCCGCGACTCGCAGCCGTGAGGATATTCGCGTCTCGAGCGGATAGGCGCGAGTAGACGAAAAAAAGAATCGCTCGATTAACGGCATTTAAATTCACAGAACTCTTCTTCACGTGATAAACAAGCTTAACAAAGTTGAATTCTCGTTATTCAAATTATTCAGCGTTTACGAAATACATGCATAATTAATTGTTATCGAGGAGCCGAGGAATTTCGGAAATCTAATTAGTTTCCTGAGAGACACTTATGCGGCGAGCGTGCGAGAACGGTGCTCTCATGGAAAATCTTAATGGCTCTCCTTGGGTCTTGTTGCCTCCCTCTCGCAGCCTTTCGCAAAGACAAGCCATTGACGTCACGCGTTCAACTAATCGCTAGTGCAGCTGCATTCTCCCCTTCCGTGCGCAAAACACGGGATTCCACTGGAGTCACGGGCCGCGCACAGCCACGGGGCAGCCTCATAATTTTCGAAAGACCGTCGTTCTGTTTAAACACCGTAATTTATTCGCAAGTACACGGCGGCACTTGATACCCCACCGCCATACTTTCTCCGCATCTCAATCGCTCAGTAAATAATTGATCAAGAATGTCTGTTTCGTTCTTTTTACAACATATAAAAAATATCGATAAGTGAGTGATATGTTTATTGCAATCTAAATGCTCGAAAACAACGTCTCGCTCTTTAATTGAAAAGTAATCGTTTTTGAGATAAAAGAAGAAATATAATATAATCGCACAAATATTATCCTTCTCCTCTTACATTCCAAATTTCTTAATTTTTCCGTTGTTTGAAGAATGTAATATATAGTCACAATTCACTAAGATAGCAGGCTCGACGATTCTAAAAGCACTAATAGCGATTGTGATTGCAAAATCAATGCGAGAAGAACATGTCTCGCTAATCGAAGATCGATAAACAGAATAAATTATCGAGTCGTTGTGATGCAATGTTTCTCCATCGTTATTACCGCGAGAATATACAAGACAACACACGGTGCCGCGATGACAAGAGTTATCGTCGTCGAAACGCCTGCAATTGGCCGCGATAACGTCGAAGTTATCAGTCCGCGCGCGCGCGATTTCGTAACGATCGAGCTTTTCACGATCTTCTCGTCGGACTTCGAACGTTCACGGTGACATTTTAAGCGTGAAATCACGACCTTCGATAACATTGTGACCACGAAATGAGAGACGAGTCGTTCTCCATCGTTGGATTGCGATTTTCGTTCGCGCACAATAAAAATGTCGTCATGCGGCGTTCGCCGAGAGCTATCGGATTTGAATACGCATTCCGATGCGCTGAAGAACAAAAAAAGATGAAAAATTTTCGAGACGATTGTAAAAACAGGAATCTCGAAGATACGATGTGTTGAAAAATGCGTTTACCGTCGCCCGCGCGTTCGTGAACACGCATTGTTCATATGAGCGCTCACACGCGTTACATTAAGCGTTCGGTGAAATCAGAACAGACGAGCATATGGGTGCGGTAGTGATTTTATATGGTTGGGTATGTAGCACCTGATACGCAACGAGTTTAATCACACTTTCGACCTCATTAGCCTAATGGATTTTAGTAAATGTCGATATTTCTTCTCGCACACAGCTTGGCGAATTTCGAACGTGAGGTTTAATTCAGATTTTAATTCAAATTTCTTGTAATTTTCAAAGTGGTAACTGAAAGCTATAGCGTGTATACGTCATTGTTATCCGAGGAATCTTTTAAGCAATCTGCAGGAAAGGAATGCGAGAGAGAATCAACAGAAATAATGACACGGTTCGCGATCTCGTTTCTAATTCTATTATGATGCGAGAGGTTTATAAAGAATTCTGACGTCACGTGTTTATCTTGGGTATAATTAGCGAATAAATCTATAATCTCAAACTACATCTAATTTTACAACCAGTCCGCTCACTAATTTAAATTGGTTTTATGTTCGTGTATTCACCTGTTAATTTAAATTTTCTGGCTATTTATCCGCTAATGAAGAAATATGAAAAGAAATATTCATTTTAATTGATACAACCGCGTCTTTGTTTTCGCCATATAAATTCCGTCCAACAATTAAAAGAGCCATTTCGCCGTGCCTGATATTCCTGCTAATTACCTCACCTGCGGCCGCTCCACTTGGTAATGTCGTTATTAATGTGCGACGTGGAGAGGCAAAGAAACGCGTTGGAACGTAACCTTCGGTGTGCAATTCCGAAATTTTTCCTCGTGCATTTTTCGGAAAGTAATTCACAACAAGGCCAGCCGCGCGCGCTGAACAAGATTTCTTATTGTACGTAGCATGTCCTGCGGAGCGAATGATAACTGCGATGTTTTCCTTACGCAAAAATCGTCGCAAAATTCACCGATGCAGTTGTTATTGAAATATAACGCGATAAAAATAAGACAATCTGTATGCGGATACGAGTTAGCTGCAGATCTTTATTCGCATCATCACTTCGTTTTACGAGTCTGAATATTCATGAGAAGAATTTCTTCCCGAATTACCATTATTGTGACAAGACGATGCGTGAAACGGCCAATCAACGACCGATATATTCTTCCACCTTGCACCACACATTTATTTCGCTCGGACATACGTGCAGCGTGCAATTAATCCCACTAACGCTAAATGCGGCAAACTGATGTCAGTCGCCTCAACCTGAACGCGAGAATTGCGGTTCGCGTGCGTCATACTGCTGAATTACTCTAGAAACCCCGTTTCCAGTTCGTCGCCCATTCAAAACTCATCTTGCTCCGGGACACGCTATATGCTTTTGGCCATTACAGCTAAATGTTTACATAAAGTATACAGAGACGCGGGCGTAAAGCCGCTTGTTTGATCCGCCAAAAAGTTTAATTAGTGTGAAGGAAGTAATTGAGAGAATTTCTCGAGCCAGTTAAAACTTACCGGTAAAAAAAATCTGTTTTTCGTTTGAGAATAAGTCTCTCGAAATAAATTAGCACAATTATTATCTGGAAATAATACTATAAAAAAATATTGCCGTATATAAGAATACTGGAAAGAAATAGCACAAGAGTAAATCACACTTAACATAAATACCTTTTTTTAAAAAATTCCCCGCTCTGTCAATTCGATCGACAGTTAGTTTATACCGATTACATAAGAACCATTACATTTACAATGGAAAGAAAAAAATACTAATAATATGATAAGCGTGACGTGTTTATCGCGTCGAA